TGTGAACACGAGAGGAAAGTCCAGCCCCTGGTCATTTCAGAGCTGGGATGTGGGGCACCGTGCTGTGTCGGGAGCCTCTGCTCCAGCATGCCTGACCAGTGCCGCCGCTCAGGGGACGTGTCCGTGGGTAGACGTTGTCGGGCTTGCCGGTGACACAGGGCGCGGGGCAGTCCGCAGGGGTTTCACATACTTTCTAAGGGAAATAAACCTGACTCTTATGTTAGGCTCGTCCCAAAGCTGTTTTACAAGTGTGACCAAGGACAGGCTGACCCCGTGGTGGCCGTGGCGAGAGACCAGAGCAGCGTGTATCTGACGCTCCTCATGCACGAGACGCAGCCTCCGTCCCACTTCTCCGTCAGCACCGTAACCAGGTATGCCAGCCGAGGCTTGGGAGCACTCATGTGAAGCCTTGCGTTTTCTGGAGAAAATGCTTAGTGAGGGTGTTTGAGCGGGCGGGCTGCCTTCAGTAGGACGCTTCTTTCCTCAGGGTTCACCACCCGCCTCTATTCAGGTTCTGCTGCAGCCAGGCCCAGTGACGTCACAGGTCATGATTTGTTTGTTACGAGCCATAGACTGACAACTGCATTCTTCTGTAGGACTCTAATACTCTATCTTGTCCTTAAAATTTTCACTTTCTTTATGTTATCTAAAAGTATGATTGTGTCATGGCATTAATTTTTAGCAGGCTATTATTTTTAGCAGGCATGTTATTTTTAGCAGGCTGTTAAAGAGTGTCAGTGTTATTTAGGGTTATCCACTAGCTAAGTGATTAGCAATTATTATTATTCACATGTTTTTGTGAAAGGTCTTTAAATACAATTTCAAATGACTAAACACAGCCCATTCTCTTATTCTCAGATGAGTGGGATAGACTAAAAGTAATCAGCAGAAATGCTTTTTGAAGTTCTAATTTTCTTTAAAGTTTCAGTTTGCTAGGAAGGCTGCAGAAATGATAATAAGACTATTAAGCTTTTAAAGAATTCTCTATATTTTAAATGTTATTTTAAAAATTAGTTTTTATGTGATAATTTTTTCTCCTGAGTGGCATTTTTAAAAAATACTTGGGCTAAATGACTTTTGAAGCCAAAATGTCCATGTGACAGTTTGTTCTGAATTTGAAACTCAGCTTGTCAAATTTTGAAGTTATTTTTTCTTATTAAATACCTCTTCTAATGCAAAGATTGTTTAAAAACATGGAAATAATTTTTTTCTTAGATAATTTCCTTTTTTTTTAACCTCAAAACTGGCATTTTCTCTCTTTAAGCAGAAGCAATATAAGAATATTTCATTTTGACAAGCTTATGATAAGTAACTTGTCAACAAGGTTACATCTTTTAAATGTCATTAGATACCAACAGAGATAGGTATAATATTTTATTAAAATTGGTTAGTAACTATAGCTGTGAAAAATTTCTAGTCCAAACTCAGACTGTCCTCTAGATATTCAGCTTTGTTTAGCTTGGTTCTTGCATGATAAGCACAAATCCCGGTTGTACACTGTACTTGCAGGATTTGTGTGAGGAGATAAACTGTGTTCCCCTTAGTCTGTATCATTGAGTGCCTCTGTGGACAAGACCTGAGGGGAACGGAAGTGAATGGACAACTCACCCTGCCTGGGCTCCCTCCCTGTAGTTGGGGAATTAGAATTTGTATGTAACTACTAGGAGGGATTGAAATTGACATGTGCTGTGAATGGAATACGGAAGAAGTGACAGTCTTGTAGTGGGAAAGGACTTCCTTTTGTTTGGAATCAGGAGTAGATTCCCACAGGATGTAATTTAAAGCTTGAAAAACGGGCAGCTTTGGATTGGCTGATTTTAAAGGAAATTAGAACTTCATTAAAGCATTTCTGCTGATGACTCTTGGTCCTCTGGTGTGGTTGGACATTGGAGGAGGGAGGGGTTATTTCAGCTGTCTTTATAGAATAATGACCACATTTATTTCCAGTCTTCCCGTAACTTAAAAAGTCAAGATTGCTTTAACTTCGTGTGGCCTTTAATCTTAAAGTTTTAAATGCCATTTGAATTCTGAGAATGTCATAAACTTTAATGGGAGATTTTAAGTCTCCTCTGTAACTTTCTCGTTAGAATTTATAGAGGCTATAACCTGCTACCAAGCATCACAGATGTCACTCTGGAAAATAACCTCTCGAGAGTCATTGCAGCCGTTTCTCATGAACTGATCACATCGACCACGAGAGCGCTCACAGTAAGTCTCTTGGTTGGGCTAATGAGTTAATTTTCAGTAGTTTGCGTGGTCTGTTCTTCATGATAAGATACTTGTATTAGAGCTCTTACATGTGGGCTTCTGTTAATAAAACCCTGGTTTATTCCAACGAAAATGGAAACAACTATTTTCACGTTATTAAAGTAATACATGTTTATTCTAAAAAGAGATTCAGCCCATCTAGGAAGAAATAATAATGAAAACTACCATAATCCAAATTGGTAGTATATCAGAAGTTTAAAATATCTCTAAAATAGTTGACTCAATGACTTTATAATATATATGAAGAGGAAAAAACCTTGGAAATACCAACAAAGATTTTTGTGTCATGTGATTATCTATATCATTATTTATGATGCTAAAAGTACAAAAGAACTGTAATGTCCAAGAATCCTATACTGAATAAATTCTGATGATAACTAAATTCTGTATAGATGGTGATGTGTATAGTTATGAACCTATTAACATGATGCTTTGGAGCATTTGTAACAATCTACAGAGTGAGCCTCTAGATTATAATATTGAGTGAAAAAAGGCACAGTATAAAACCGTGTGCTTGTGTATAGTGGTTATGAAAAATAATGTTCACGTAAACACATTTCTTACTCAGGAAAGTAATTGGCAGAAAATTACTAAAATTAATTTTACAACTATGAATGGTTATTCTTTTTAAGATATCACACATTTTCTAAAATGAACATGTGTAATTTCCATTGTCAGAGAGAAGAATGGTACATGAAAAGTGGTGCCAGTTCACTGATTTACCAGCTTAAACCTTGTCATTTATTTTCTGTGACAGAAGGAATGCTTTCCTGTTGTAAAAACTAAGACAACTGTGATTAGACTCTCTTGATACGTATATAAGTGCCTTTCAAACTTAAATACTATTTGGGCTCTCTGTAGTTTGGACTTCCCTTGATTTGTTCAAACTGTTATAAATTTTATTTGTCTTTATTGTGGCCTACATATATCAGATGCTGTTCTAGGCTTAGGATGTAAAAACAAGAAGGATCCTTGCCCTGTGGTTCTTTCAGCCTGGTCAGGAAGATGGACGTTACTTAGCTTGAGCTCAGGAGTGGCTGGTGGGGGGTGGGGGGGGGCAGAGAAGAGGGGAAGGAAATTCCAGGTAGGGGTTGGGGGAAGGCCCAGGGAGATTAAAGTCGAGCAAGAGGAGGAGCCCCCCTGCTGGCCTCTCCCTGGACGTAACCCACCCTCCTTAAACCTGTATCTCGGCTGTCCAGCCATATCTGAATTCTCAGGTGTGAACTTGTTCCGTGGGAGGACAGATGTCCTGTGCTTGGGTACAGAGCTCAATTCTGTTTTCATTGTTTGTACGTTTTATAAAGCGTAGAAGGGGGGTCAGTGTAATAAACTCTCGTGGTGTTGAGTGTGATCTTATCGTTCCTTTCTTGTTTAGTTTGGATGCTGTGAAGCTCTGTGTCTACTTTCAACTGCCTTCCCAGTTTGCATTTGGAGTTTAGGTTGGCACTGCGGGTATGTATTTCCTTGGCACATGACTGTCTACAGTTATGTGATACAAGCATGGTTATACGGATCCTTTTTTTTTTTTCTTGTTAAGTCTTTCATCAGTGTTACCTTTTGGGGAAGTACCCACTGGAATATTAGCTTCTCCTGGTTAGTTGTGTTTGATGCTAGTGACAGGAGACTTGGAAGCAGTGAATTACTTGTGATTCTTTTGGATGTGAAATGCTCACACATCAACATTTGGAGGATTTGAGGGTGTGACTTGCAGTCTCATTGAAGGGAATTTGCATACGCTGGCAGACTTTTCTAATTGGCTTGATTCTCTCCAAAATTATTCACTATGTATTAAAAATTTAGAAACTTTCTTTGTTTGAAATCAGATGTGATCTATCATGCAAAGTCATAATCAGTTACAAGAGTCGTTTAGGAACTACTGTACTTACATTCGGAGAAGGCAGTGGCACCCCACTCCAGTACTCTTGCCTGGAAAATCCCATGAACGGAGAAGCCTGGTGGGCTGCAGTCCATGGGGTCACCAAGAGTCGGACTGAGCGACTTCACTTTCACTTTCCACTTTCATGCACTAGAGAAGGAAATGGCAACCCACTCCAGTGTTCTTGCCTGGAGAATCCCAGGGACAGGGGAGCCTGGTGGGCTGCTGTCTGTGGGGTCGCACAGAGTCGGAAACGACTGAAGTGACTTAGCAGCAGCACTTACATTAGCAGTTCTCATTTAAAAATGGAAAGGATTTTCCCCCAGTGGATGTACCTAATGAAGTGAAGTGACGTGAAAGTCGTCAGTCATGTCCGACTCTTTGTGACCGCATGGACTATATACCCCATGGAATTCTCTAGGCCAGAATACTGGAATGGGTAGCCTTTCCCTTCTCCAGGGGATCTTCCCAACCCAAGGATCAAACCCAGGTCTCCTGCATTACAGGTAGATTCTTTCCTGCCTGAGCCACCAGGGTATCCCAAGAATACTGGAGTGGGTAGCCTTTCCCTTCTCCAAAGGATCTTCCCAACCCAGGAATCAAACCAGGGTCTCCTGCATTACAGGTGGATTCTTTATACTTTCAATCAGATCTGCTCCTTGATTTCATTTCTCAGTGATTTTTATGGACCTGTGGTTACAAGAAAGATGCTAGTTAGCAATAGTAAAATTGCTTTATGACCCGGCATGAAATGAATAGCCATAATCCTCTGTTTGGTTCATAAGAGAAGGCAAAACTTAGCTCAGCATTGTTCTGTAATTTGGTCCTGCTTCCAGAGTGCCCCCACTGAGCGCCTCAGACGAGTCCAGGAAGAGCTGCACCGTGGGGATGGTCACGATGATCCTGACCCTGCTGTCCTCAGCCTGGTTCCCGCTGGATCTCTCTGCCCACCAGGATGCTCTGATTTTAGCCGGGAACTTGCTGGCAGGTATTGGCCGTGCGTTGAAACAGCTGCGGGTGAACTCGTCTCTGATTTCGTTTGAGCGGGCAGTGCGTGCAGGTATTGTCTTGGGCCCCAGGGCAGTAAGAAGGCACAGTGTGAGGGCTGCGTTCTCCAGGGGCTTGTGAGTTCATAGGGGCAGGAGTCAGCACAGCGGGGCTGTGATGCCCCCCCTTGGGGATTAGGACAGGGAGCAAGGTTTGCGGGCTGGCAGGAAATGGCATAGTGCACAGTACCATATGGGACACAGAACAAACAGCGTGTGATGTTTGAGAGCTGACAGTTTTGGATGTCATGTGCGAGTGAAGACGAGGATGGGGAATGTGGCCTGTGAGCAGTTCGTCTCCATTAGTGAGGACTCAGTCCATTTGCTCTGGGAGGTCACTGGAGAGCTTCATGAAAGGGACTAACAATCGGGTCAGTATTTTAGAAAGATAACTTGGCTTATGCAAATACAGATCGGAGAAGTTAGGGAAACTCACAGTTAAGGTAAGATGGAGAGAGTCTGAACAGGGTAATGGTTGTGGCTTGTGTTGAAGAAACCAGTTAAAGAGAGTGAAGGAGATGGAATCTGCAAGCCTCAATCGCCAGTTGAACTTGAGTTCTCTCGATCAGGAAGGGGACGGTCATCCTGGGGTGTGTGAGGCTGGGTTCATGGCAAGTGAGCACACAGGGAAATGTCAGGTTGCTGTGGAACCTGAGGCATCAGCTGACCCCAGGGGGTGTCCAGCAGACTCCCCATGTAGGCGGGTTTGAGTGACTTGGTCTTTGCCCCCCACCCTGGGGCTGGGGGGTGACGTGTGTGCCCGTATCACAGCCAGTGCCCCCAGGTCTCTGAGGAGTTCATGGACCTCTGAAGACGAGGCCAGCACGGCAGCCACCAAACAGGAGGAGGTGTGGCCAGCCCTGGGTGACCGGACCCTGGTGCCCATGGTGGAGCAGCTCTTCTCCCACCTGCTAAAGGTCATCAACATCTGCGCACACGTCCTGGACGAGGTGGCTCCCGGACCTGCAGTGAAGGTGACCCCCCCACCCCGGGCAGCTCTTCCCTGCAGCTCAGATGGTGCAGGGGCTCCCAGACAGGCCTCTGTGCTGCTCTGCCCCTCCCGCCCCCGCTCTTGATCAGATAAACAAAATCGCTCATGTTGTGACACTAGATAGAAAGCCAGATGTGATCCTCCCGTTCGCGGCGTGTTTGGTATCAACTGTCATTCCCAGTCACCTCTGAGAGGAAAGTAGCTGGCTGTGTTGTGGGGCCTTTGGTGTCGGCCAGGAAAGCTCAGAATTCAGGTGGCTCTCTCCCAAAATGTGCTGCTTTCCTTTGAGGTGCCATTCAGTACACTCAGCTTCACAGCCAGCGGTCGAGTGATCACACAGTGAGTTTACGATGGACCAGTTCACTTATATCTGCTGACTCCCTCCGTCCCCGTCTCTCCCCCATTGAGAACTCAGGTTCTCCTCTTGCTTCCATTCAAGTCCAGTCTCCTGGCCAGACCCCTGAGTTAGTACCTGCTGCTGACACTGGCCTTCTTTGTAAAGCCTCTTGGGCCCCGGACTCAGTCCACAGCTTTGGCTGTAGATTCTTTAACCCCTGCTGGCCTGGTCACCAGGCCGTATCAGTGCTCCCTGCTGAGGCCCGCCTGTGACTCTGGTGGGTGACTTTCAGGCCCCGACTCCCCTCTCCTCGCGGCACCCAGGACCACCTGTCCTGTACTGAGACATCCTCTGGTTGGTGTCCGGATTCCCTCCTCGTCCTGCTGCCCATGCTCCCCAGGCTCCGTCCTCAGCTGCCTGTCTCTGAGCTTGCTGAGCCGGGCCATCCAGTACAGTGCTCTGGAGGGACGGGACGTCCCGTCTGCTCCCACTGGGGCAGGAGCCCCTGGCCACGCGTGGTGGCCGAGCCCCTGAGATGTGGCCCGCGCAGCAGAGAGATTGGACTTTCATCACGTTAAGTCATCATCAGATGTAAATGGGAGTGTCACAGGGGACGACGGGCCTGGGTGCTCGGCGCAGTCAGCTCTGCTCTCGTGCTTCGGTGTCCAACTGGGAGACCCCTGGCCTGTCTACAGTCTGGTGTGCCGGCTGCCGCGGACACCTCTGCTCGGGCAGTTCCTGGACATCTGGTTCGGGCTGCCGCCGGACTCCGGTCTCCTCCCCAGCTGGTGCCTGTGCGCGTCTCTCACTCCGGTTTTTCAGGCGAGGAAATGGGAGTTACCGCAGCCCTTCATTTTGCTCACCAGATTCTTTGTTTTCTCCACAGAGTTTCTTGCCCAAAGCCCATACGTGTATACACACACATGCAGGCACACTTATGCACGCTCACACACAGGTGCACACACACACGGACTTTCCTCTACGCTCACCACTGCCGTCCGGCTCAGAGTGGATGGGGCATCTCTTGTGGACTGCGCAGTGGCCTCTCTGTGTCCTTAGCTGTGCTGGGTCTTCGCTGCTGTGCACGGGCTTTCTCTAGTTGCGGCCAGCAGGCACTGCTCTCTCGTGGCCGCGCTCGGCCTTCTCCTGCGCTGGCTTCTCTTGTTGCGGTTCCCGGGCTCTAGGTGCACAGGTGTCAGTAGTTGTGGCCCACGAGCTTAGTTGCTCTGCGGCATGTGGGATCTTCCTGGACCAGGGATCGAACTGTGTCCCTTGCATTTTCAGGCAGACTCTCAACTGCTGGACCGCCAGGGAAGTCCTGCAGTAGCCTCTTTGGGACAGCATTATCAGTATACCACACGGTTTCCATGCCATTCACGTACCATGCCCCTCCCCCATTCCAAGTGTGTAGCTTGGATGTGTGTTAGTACACCCAGAATTGTTTGGCCAGCTCTGCAGTACATTTTGGAACCCAAAAAGGAGTGCTGTACCCATTGACTGTCACCCCCCAGCCCTCACGTGCCCCCCAGCTCCAGGCAGCCACTAACCCTCTTTCTGTGTGTGTCAGTCGCTCAGTCACGTCCGATTCTCTGTGAGCCCATGCACTGTAGTCCACCAGACTCTCTGTCCACAGAATTCTCCAGGCGAGAATACCAGAGTGGGTTGCCATTCCCTTCTCCAGGGGATCTTCCCGACCCAGGGATGGAGCCCAGGTCTCCTGCACTGCAGGCAGATTCTTTACCGTCTGAGCCACCGAATTCTGTAGATCTGTCCATTCTAGACATTCCATGTCAGTGCGGCCATGCAGCCGTCCTTCGTGGCTGCCTCCTCTCGTGCAGCAGGCTTTCCAGGTGCGGCCGCCTCTCTCCGAGCTCTCTCGAGCCCCTCCCTGCTGCCTTACCGTCTGTTTTGATGGCAGCCCTTTATCCCCTGCATCCGCTGTGCAGACGAGGCGCCACGGTGCAAGGTGACTCCTTAGACCGTGAAGTGGGCAAGCCGCGAGCCAGGGCGCCCACGCTGCTGCCTTCCACAGTGCAGGCCGGGACTCTGCGTTCTCACGTGTGTGTGCAGAGTGTGGACTTCATGGAGAGTCCGGGCTTGCTGCCACCTAGCTCGGCTGCTTGCTGGCTGTGACCTTGAATAAGTCACTTCATCGTTGCTGAGACTATCTCACTTGAAGATGGAGTTCAGAGCATTGCTTCCCATGCCCTGGCTCCCGGGGAGCGTCCCCATGCCCATTCTTGGTCCCGAAGCCTCCTGCAGCCCCTCTGACTTGTTGAGGCCTCTTTGGCCTCTGGCATTCACGGTGCTCCCATTAGGAAGTGTTGGGTCACCTCCCACCATGGATGATTGTCGTGTGGGTTAAAGTGGACAGTGTGTGTGCAGAGTGTGAGCCCCACAGATGTAGATTCAAACGAAAGAAATGAATTCCATGTGTTGGCTCTTTTCCACAGGTGGTGAAGCACACACACCCTAGTTTTCTGTTTTGTGTTGGTTACAACCCACTCCAGTCCTCTTGCCTGGAAGCTTCCATGGACTGAGGAGCCTGGTGGGCTACAGTCCATAGGGTCGCAAAAGAGTCAGACACGACTGAGCNTATTAATTGCTAAGAGTACACAGACCACGTTTTGGTCTTGAGCACGTCTGAGTGTGGTGTTCTAATTATTCGGGGTCCCCGCCGTCTCCCGGTGCCCGCGCTGTGCTCCCCACGCCTCCTCCCTTCTGCTCTTCTTGTTGACGTTCAGGAAGGGAGGGGGTGTAGAGGGCTGGGAACAGAGGTAGTGGGTGAGAATAATGAAGGGGGAAGTGGAAACGCCACATTTGGAAAGGCTGTGTAGGGAGGAGAGTGGGAATGAAACCATCCGAGTGAGCCGAACCTGAAGAATTCACAGATGCTAGCGGGGTTTCGGGCCAGAGGAGCCAGAGTGCCCTTGGGCTCTGCCTGTGACGGGTGCCATCTGCGCCCCTCTTGTGGGCACGGAGGACAGGCGACTGGACTCCACCACGCACGGTCACATGACACCTCACAATGCTGGGGCCGCATGTGACTCTTCCCTTCATTTTGCTTATAAAGCGTTCATGTCGAGCATTTTATTATTGTTTTAAGTTTATTCATTCTTTTGGCTACACTGCATGACTTGCGAGATCTTAGTTCCCTGAGTAGGGATTGAACTGGGGTCCTTGGCAGTGAAAGCACTGGGTCCTGAGCACTGGACCAACAGGAAGTTCCCTGTGTTAAGCATTTGAAAAGATGCTGTTTTCTAAGGATTGATGGCAGTACCGCTGGGGCTATAGCATCTAAAAAGCTTCAGAACTGTACAGATGCAGTCATCAGTATGTGACTGGCCATCTTTCTGATGATTAATAAACTAAGGACCCTAAACCACCAATCTTTAAGCATTTTGCGTTTAGTACCTGCCAAGTGATAGCGTGTGACCCACACGGTCATCAGCACATGCTCACTGTGCCCCTGTTAAGTTGCTTACAGGACTCGTGACTTCAGTCACATGGGGGTCATCCCCCTGGTGCCCCTGGGAGCCTTGTGCTCTGGGGGGTTTTCAGATTGGTTGAAGTTGCTTGAATTGGCTGTTTCTCTGACTTGCAGCCAGGCCAAAGCAGACACCTCCCAGCATCACACTTGTCTTCTCTTTCTCTTTTTATTTTATTGTATTATCTTTTGGGAGTTACTCAGAGTCTACTAATGTTTAGTAATCAATTTCTTACTACTTGTAATTAATCAAAAATTCAGGAAAAGTTGGCATTTTATCCTGCTAGCATACTTGAAAAATAATTGTTATAGTGATCTCTTTTAAGCTTGGTGAGTGTTTCCTTTTGACTTGAAAGTGTATCTTGTCTGTGTGAAGCCTCTCGACCACCTGAAACCTCAGGGCCTGTCGCCGCAAACAAGTCCTCGTCACTGGGGAGCTTCTGTCACCTGCCTTCTTACCTCAAACTGCACGACGTCCTGAAAGCCACTCACGCCAACTACAAGGTACTGCTTTTGTAAAAATACCCTTGCTCTCACACATTTCAGGGGACCGTCACCATTTTTCTTAAGATTGTAGATTATAGACATACATATGAGTGAGTAGACCTTAGGGATATGAGTTACAATTGGCTTTTTCGGCTTTGTTTATGATAGCTTCCATCATACAGAAGGTTGGGATTTTCATTGAAAAAGTGATGTCTTTATGATCTGTTGGTGCCGGGTCTGGGCGTCCCAAGACCACCCATGTTCAAAGATCCACTGGACGGACCCCAGGACTCAGCCCTTGGTCGCGCTCACAGTGAGGGCGCCTCACAGAGGGGCAGGGAGGAGACACGGCCAGCCCGTGAAGGAGAGGACGCAGGCTGAGTCTGGAGCAGCCTCTGCCCCAGTGAGGGCCACGAGGAGCACACCCCCACCCCCCACAAGAGCGAATGTGCGGCCCTGCTCGGAGAGGAAAACGGGTCCCGCCTGAGCACATGCGTACAGACCGTGCAGGCTCAGTGAGCCGCAGCGCTCAGAAGAGCTGGTGCCAGCCCAGCGACTGCTCCCTGGCCGAGTCCCAGACGCCCTGGGCCCGCCCTGCAGGCAGGCCTCTGGGGGGACAGCCGCCTGCCCTGTTGACTCTAATGCACGGGCGTGTTTCTCATCCTGGGAAAGGGCTTCTTTCCTTTTTCAGCAGAGGTTAGATTTTACTTCACTGAGCAAATTCCTTTCTACTTACTGTAGTACTTTCGCAAGGGTTTTGCCAGTTTTTACTTTCACAGTCAGTCTCTCCCTCTCACCCTTGTTCTTACGTGTTATATCCTTGGACCTGACCCTCCTCTCCGTCTGTTAAATGGGGGGAATTGCTGCAAAATTTACTTGAGCCAGGCCCTTTAGGACCCTAACGTCTCTTAGACTGATTTAATACTCTGCTGCACCCAGACTAGAGGCTGTGTCCGGGCTTGGTAGCCTTTCCCCAGGGCCCTCGTGCTCGTGGGAGAGCTGTGCTTTTGCTGAGTTGCATCTCACTGGGACCCCGTGGACTGCAGCCTGCCGGGCTCTGTCCCTGGGCAAGAATACCAGAGTGGGTTCCTACAGCCTCCTCCGGGGGGTCTTCCCGACCCAGGGATCCAACCCGGGTCTCCCCCATTGCAGGCAGATTCTTTACAATCTGAGCCACCAGGGAAACCCTGGTGTGGAAAAGGACATGTGTTCTATTTTTATTTATTTATTTTTTCTGCTTATCAGATACTGGTTATGATGGGCATTAAGCATTTTTTCTCATTACGGTAGAAGGTTGGGAATTACTTCTTTCAATAGTGTCAGTATAAGTTGGAAGACGCCTTTGGAAATCAGTTTTTATGTAGCTATCTGGAAGAGTAATTTCCTTTCCAAGGCATTTCCCCAGTGCTACAAACAAATGGAAACCACCCCCACCAAGATGAAGCTTGGGCTGCCTAGTGGAACACAGCTTCCCGCAGCCTACACTGGTTCTGTCTCAGGTGCCAGGGAGGCCCGTGCCCCAGTGATACTGTCTCCGTTGTCTCCCTTCTCATCCCCCAGGTCACCTTGGATCTTCAGAGCAGTAGTGAGAAGTTTGGGGGTTTTCTGCGCTCTGCCTTGGACGTTCTGTCTCAGATTCTGGAGCTGGCGACGCTGCAGGACATTGGGAAGGTTTGTGTTTCCTGTCTTCTCATTGAACTGTGGCTGGCACGCCTGAAATGCATCTCTGGGCCAGGTGCCTTGGGGTGGGACCCCAACATCCCTACACGTTGGGAAAGTGGGGAGAGGTTCTTCAGTTTGGACACCGGAGTCTGATTCTTAGCGTCGTGTTGAGGAGAGTTTGATTTGTATTCTGTTTTCACTTTTTACTGTATATTAGCTCAGACTCAGTTGAATTAAAAAATGACTGGGTTTAGAACTGTTGAATCTTTTTGCTTTCTCTGACCTTTGCATGTGGAAAGGTCAGAGCAGTCACAGTGAGGGTGTGTGGCTTTAGGAAGGAGCAGAGCTGTGCTTGAGGCTTGTGGACTTTGGTTCTGAGCCCAGTAACTGACCCCTGTCTCTCACCCTCCTGTCGTGCGGGCCTGGTCACCGCAGACAGGTCGTGCGGTGAGTGCCATGCCGTGTCCACGTCCAGACCTGACAGTTACCGCCTTGCCCACTTGTCCTGGTGTGTTTGGCCCCACCTGTCCAGCTGGGGCATCCTGGTGAGCTTCCGAAAGCCCGCCGTGCCCGTGGGCCGCAGCGCAGTTCCCTGCGCTCTCTCTCCCGTCTTTCTCTCCGTGAGCATGGAGCTCACCCAGTCTCAGTCACAGTGCACGTCGTCGTCTGTTTCTCTGCGCTTGTCGCTCGTGCTTCTCCCACATGGCAACTCAGAGGGGGGCGGAGCAGTGCTCAGGCCAGGGCTAAGTCTTCCACCCGAGGCAAGGGCTCTCTGGCTCTGCCCGGGGCTGCGAGCCCGCTGGGAGAGGAGTCACTGTCCGGGCCTGTGTGATCTCTGAGCGCTGCTCCCTCTGCCCGCCTCCTCCCTGCCTAGCACTGTGAGGCCTTCCCAGGTCCTCTCTGGGAGGCCCCTCTTCTTTGGAACCCTCACTGCGTCTGCTTCCTGGACTCCCAGCTCCTTCTCGACTCGGGGCACCCTGAGCTCTGCTCCATCCCTCATCCTCATGCCCCTCCCGGGAGCTCTCTGAGGGGCACAGTGAGCGGGGCAGCCGTCCGGCTGACCAGCTCATTTCCCATCTCTTGGGAACCCCTGTCCTCTGGTCCAGCTCATTTCCCATCTCTTGGGAACCCCTGTCCTCTGGTGCCTGGTGATCACAGTCTTGGAGCCGTGCTTTCATGTATTATCGGACTTTTTTTGGTTGTTTGGCTGTGGGGTAAACATGGTCCCTCTTACCCCTTACCGGCTGGGGACGGGGTGGCCCTTTGTTATCCTGTGTGTTAATGTTCATGCTCGGGACTTGTTTTCTGTTACTCTGGGCTCTCAGAAGGCCAGCAGCACCATCCTTTTCTCACCTGTTTTCAGTTTCTTAGCCATACTGTAAGGGCCACCCAAGGCGGACAGTTCTAACAAAACGTGGTCCACTGGAGAAGGGAATAGCAAACCACTTCAGTATTCTTGCCTTGAGAACCAATGAGTGGTATGAAAAGGTAAAAAGATAGGACGCTGAAAGATAAACTTCCCAGGTCAGTAGGTGCCCAATATGCTTCTGGAGATCAGTGGAGAAATAACTCCAGAAAGAATGACAAGATGGAGCCAAAGCAAAAACAATGCCCAGTAGTGGGTGTGACGGGTGATGGAATTAAAGTCCAATGCAGTAAAGAGCAACATTGCATAGGAACCTGGAATGTTAGGTCCATGAATGAAGGTAAATTCCAAGTGGTCAAACAGGAGATGGCAAGAGTGAATGTCGACATTTTAGGAATCAGTGAACTAAAATGGATTGAAATGGCAAATTTAATTCAAATGATCATTATATCTACCACTGTGGGCAAGAATCCCTTAGAAGTAGTGGAGTAGCCCTCACAGTCAACTAAAGAGTCTGAAATGCAGCACTTGGGTACAATCTCAAAAGTGACAGAATGATCTCTGTTCATTTCCAAGGCAAACCATTCAGTATCACAGTGATCCAAGTCTATGCCCAATCCAGTAATACTGAAAAAGCTGAATGGTTCTATGAAGACCTACAAGACCTCCAAGAACTAACACCCAAAAAAGATGTCCTTTTCATCACAGGGGACTGGAATGCAAAAGTAGGAAGTCAAGAGATACCTGGAGTAACAGGCAAGTCTGGCCCTGGAGTACAGAATGAAGGAAGGCAGAGGCTAACAGTTTTGCCAAGAGAATGCACTGGTTGTAGCAAACACCTTCTTCCAAAAACACAGGAGAAGACTCTACACATGGACATCACCAGATAGTCAATACCGAAATCAGATTGATTATATTCTTTGCAGCCAAAGATGGAGAAGTTCTGTACAGTCAGCAAAAACAAGATCAGGAGCTGAATGTGGCTCAGATCATGAACTCCTTCTTGGCAAATTCAGACTTAAAGAAAGTAGGGAAAACCATTAGCCCATTCAGGTATGACCTAAATCAAATCCCTTACGATTATACAGTGGAAGTGACAAATAGATTAAAGGGATTGGATCTGATAGAGTGCCCGAAGAACTATAGACGGAGGTTCATGACATTTTACAAGAGGTGGTGATCAAGACCATCCCCAAGAAAAAGAAATGCAAAATAACAAAATGGTTGTCTGAGGAGGCCTTACAAATAGCTGAGAAAAAGAGAAGCGAAAGGCAGAGGAGAAACAGAAAGATATACCTATCTGAATGCAGAGTTCCAAAGAATGGCAAGGAGAGATAAGAAAGTGTTTCTCAGTGATCAGTTCAAAGAAATAGAGGAAAACAATAAGATGGGAAAGATGAGAGATCTCTTCAAGAAAATTAGAGATACCAAGGGAACATTTCATGCAAAGATGGGCTCGATAAAGGACAGAAATGGTATGGACCTAACAGAAGCAGAAGATTTTAAAAAGAGGTGGCAAGAATACACAGAAGAACGGTACAAAAAAAGATCTTCACGAACCAGATGATCACGATGGTGTGATCACTCACCTAGAGCCAGACATCCTGGAATGTGAAGTCAAGTGGGCCTTAGGAAGCATCACTGTGAATAAAGCTAGTGGAGGTGATGGAATTCCAGTTGAGCTATTTCAGATCCTAAAAGATGATACTGTGAAAGTGCTACACTCGATATGCCAGCAAATTTGGAAAACTCAGCAGTGGCCACAGGACTGGAAAAGGTCAGATTTCATTCCAGTTCCAAAGAAGGGCAGTGCCAAAGAATGTTCAGACTACTACACAATTGCACTCTTCTCACACACTAGCAAAGTAATGCTCAAAACTCTCCAAGCCAGGCTCCAACAGTACGTGACCTGTGAACTTCCAGATGTTCAAACTGGATTTAGAAAGGCAGAGGAACTAGAGATCAANATGTGAGAGTTGAGCTATAAAGAAAGCTGAGTGCCGAAGAATTGATGCTTTTGAACTGTGGTGCTGGAGAAGACTCTTGAGAGTCCCTTGGACTGCAAAGAGATCCAACCAGTCCATTCTAAAGGAAATCAGTCCTGAATGTTCATTGGGAGGACTGATGCTGAAGCTGAAACTAATACTTTGACCACCTAATGTGAAGAACTAATCATTGCAAAGATCCTGATCCTGGGAAACATTGAAGGCAGGAGGAGAAGGGGACGACAGAGGATGAGGTTGTTAGATGGCATCACCTACTTGATGGACATGAGTTTGAGCAAGCTCTGGGAGAAAGATAGGGCGTGCTGCAGTCCATGGGGTTGCAAAGAATCAGACACAACTGAGCAACTGAGCTGAATTGAACTTAGTTTCCGGATTTCCCTGGTGGCTCAGATGGTGAAGTGTCTGCCTCAGGCGACCTGGGAATGCACAGAAAGGGTATTCCATATGTTTTTGTTAAAAGACGTGATTGTTTGTTAGACAACTTGTGATACTAAAGACGCTGGTTGAATTTTTCTAGTTAACACTTCTTAGTTACCTGCTATGAGCAGTGGTGTGGAACAGACTCAACCCTGCAGGGTATATAGACAGCCTTGGACATCTGGTCCAGGGAGAGTTAATCAGAATAGTCAACAAACATGGGCCTGAGTATATGAAGTGAACAGAAACGTGTCACTTTTTAGTACAGGATGTTGCATCAGATGAATGAAGCGAGTGGCTTTCTCTCTGTAGTTGGTGTGCCGCGAGCAGCGGCTAGAGGCCGTGTGGCCGTGAGGAGCGGGGCTGCCGGTGGCAGTCGTGGACCAGCTCTCGTCTCCAGGGAACCTTGGCTGCCGCAGACCTCATGTATGAGGCTGGAAAAGCACCTGTGAGGGCAGTCATTTGAAGGCAGTCGTGGTGGTCATCTTTGCAGGCTGCTCTCAAGACACATCCAGGACTTTCTGTGGCAAATCACACCTGACGTAATGTGTTACGATCAGCTGACTGTCTGTAGGTGCCCCAGGGATGCAGGGCTTTCAGCCCCTGTGGATTCTCACCTCCTGTGATGAGAACAGGGCTGGACGCAGAGGGCGTGGCAGAGCCTTGAAGTCCTGCGTCTGGACAAGTGAGCCAATGAAGGCACGAATGTAGAAGTGCATGAGAGGAAGGGCGAGAGCCTGGATTCAGTGCTTCATGCTGATTGTCTCTGGCTGTGATGAGGGAGAGCCTGGTCTGAGTGTCCTCCGGCATTGATGGATGTTCGTAGTTTAAATGGAAGTGGTCCTGTCCGCTGTCCGTGTAGGACTGCGGCAGCGTGTCATCTGTGACTCACTTCCTTTAATGCCTCACACTTCTCCTTTCCAGTGTGTTGAAGAGATCCTGGGATACCTGAAGTCTTGCTTCAATCGAGAGCCGATGATGGCGACCGTGTGTGTTCAGCAGGTAAGAGAGGAGCTCCTGGGAAGCCCTGCTCCCTGCACGATGCTGGCGCACTGCCTGTCGCTCAGGAGATGCTGCGTCTGGCAGCCCCACCGTCACGCCCCTGCTTGCTCATTCTCGGACCAGAAGGGTGCTTGTCCCCCGTGCCCCTGGAGGAGGGGCTCGCCCTTGGGGACAGGCTCCCGTCCCCTTCTGCCGTCTGAGCGTCCCTCCCGCGTCCACACATCCCGTTAGTTTCAGGTGGACTTGGTGTGCGTGTGGGAGATTCCGCATTAATTCGAATGTCACTGACTTCAATTCTTCCGCTCCAGTTGCTGAAGACTCTGTTCGGGACAAACCTGGCCTCCCAGTCTGACAGCCTGTCTTCCCACCCCAGCAAGTCGCAGGGCCGAGCGCAGCGCCTCGGCTCCTCCAGTGCACGCCCCGGCTTGTACCACTACTGCTTCATGGCGCCCTACACCCACTTCACCCAGGCCTTGGCGGACGCCAGCCTGCGGAACGTGGTGCAGGCAGAGCAGGACCAGGACACCTCAGGGTAACCTTCTGAGCGCCCCCCGTGTTCTCTAGGGCTCCCCGCGGTGCTGAAGGCAGGGCCCCCTTCAGGGAAGCGCGTGGTCCAGTGAGAGAGGTGGGCCTGTGGTGTTACGGTCTCGGCGGGTGGGGCTGGGCTGGGGGACAGGAGGGCCGAGCGGCTCCCCACGAAGCCGCTTCCCCTCATGCTGATGTGTCAGCAGGCCAGGAGCGGGGCGCGGGTATCCTCTGACACCGAAGGCCCGCCGCTGCGGGGTCCGGCCCTGTGTGTTGGTGGCCCTCAGGGCCTGTACTCAGGTGGTGCAGCAGTGCCGGTGTGCAGAGGGCTGGGGGCGGTGCGTGCCCAGCTCATGGATAAAGGCCTCTTTCCACTTAATTTATGGCTGTGTTGGACTTCCCCGGTGGCTCAGATGGTAAAGCGTCTGTCTGCAGTGCAGGATCCCTGGGTCGGGAAGGTCCCCTGGAGGAGGGCATGGTAAGCCACTCCAGTGTTCTTTCCTGGAAAATCCTATGGACGGAGGAGCCTGGTGGGCTACAGTCCATGGAGTCGCAAAGAGTCGGACACAACTGAGTGACTTCACTTTCTTTCTTTCTTTCTTTCTTTCTTTCTTTCTTTAGGATGTCTGGGATTGCAGTAGTTTCTTAAATTACCATTATTATTTGTGCATATTTGAGTTACTACTCTGTAGTAACAGTAGAATTCCTGGGTTTTTGTTACATAGATTTAGAGTATTTTAGGGAAATGTCCACATTTTGGGCTTTAATTGGTGATATACTGACTTCTAAGTCTCAGGACTAGGACTCTTCAAATATTTTGTCTAATATGGGATATAAGTAAAACAAGCAAATGTCTGATTACTGTCATCTAATATTACGTTTCTTGAAAAGAAAAGGGTATACTTGACGTCAAAGTTTAAAGAAATCAAGTGATGCCTTCTGAGTCTCTGAGCCTTTCCTGAGCCTGGCTGCCTCCAGCCCCTGCCCCCGAGGCTGTGTGAGTGTCTAGCAGCAGCAGCACTCTGGCCCAGGTCGCCTGCTGCAGGGAAGCCTGGTGGGCTGCAGACCAGCCGTGGTGGTCCGTCCACAGGAAACTCAGTTCTGTCTGATGGCGTGCTCGGTCGTGTCCAGCTCTTCGAGACTCCATGGACTGTAGCCCACCAGGCCCCTCTGTCCGTGAGATTTTCCAGACGAGACTACTACAGCGGGTTTCCATTTCCTTGCCTGACTAATCTTCATTAAAAGCAGAGCTTGATGCTGCTCCACCGAGTGGCTATTGAAGTTCGTTCTGACCCTGAAGTGTTCTGATTCTGTGAGCTGGAGTCAGCTTGACCTGGGTCTAGCTGGGGACACAGGAGGGTATGCAAGGGTGTTCTCTGCTCGCCCTTTTTCCTCCCTGGCAGGTGGTTTGACGTCCTCCAGAAAGTGTCATCCCAGCTGAAGACAAACCTCACCAGCGTCACAAAGAACCGAGCAGACAAGGTAACTGGGAGCTGTTCCCAGGTTGCGGTCTGGAAGCGGCTGCAGCTGAAGACTCACTCAGGCGTTCTTTCTTTTCTTCGTAGAATGCTATTCATAATCACATTCGCTTATTCGAGCCTCTTGTTATAAAAGCTTTAAAACAGTACACGACCACGACCTCCGTGCAGTTGCAGAAGCAGGTGTTGGACTTGCTGGCGCAGCTGGTTCAGCTCCGGGTCAACTACTGCCTTCTGGATTCAGACCAGGTGTGTCACTCGTGTCTTTCATCTGCCGTAGCTGTTCATGATGCAGTGAAAGCTAGCTGAGAAAGACGCTGAAACGTGCCGTCAGGAAGTGTGCGTTTCCTTCCCGCACCAGCTGCTGCGTCTCCTCCGTCTCACCCACTGGTGGGCGCGGAGGCCTGGCCCACGGGGCCTTGGCGAGAACGCTGCCCTCAGCCAGGCGCTCCAGCCTTTACGCTCTGCAGCGGTTCTTCCCATCCACCCACCTGCCCCCACCCCAGGAGTAACTTACACTGGAAGACTCTGACCTCTGTGCAGAATCCAGAGTGCGGTTTTAAACCGCTTGTGAGGAACGGTTGCCAGTATCAAGCTGTCCCCTGTTGAAAAGGCGTGTGACCTGTCGGACAGTGGGTGGCCCCGCGCTGCAGCTGTCTGAGCCGGCCACCCCGTGGGCCCTCACCCCGCGCCCTGCTCTGGCGCGTGCGACTGTGGAAAGGCGTGTCCCTTCGTGACGTGGATTCTCTAAAAGCAGGAGTCAGAGCAGCCAAGGTCACCACAGGGAGAGTTGCCTTTGGGGCGTCAGGATGTGACTGTCCCTCTTGGGCATGGGCTGCTTTCCTGAGTGAGATGGGAAGTGTTCTGAGATGGAAACGCTGCAGTTCTCTGTTTGCTTCTAGACATCACTGTCTAGAAGGTGTCATGGGTGCTGTGGCCCTGTCACTCCCCTGGGGAAGCTCAACGGAGAGGCGACACCGCTTTCCCTGCAGTGGGCCTGGGGGGCCACCTGCGGAGAGGGGGCCTACGGGCTTTGTGTTGGCCAGCATCTTCACCATCCTGCCCTCTGCGCTGGTTTTCAGGAGGACATTCTCCACAGAACCCTTTTCCTCCTCTGGGGAGACGCTCCCAGGGGATGGTGGTTCTGTCGTCTGGGGAGGGGCACGCCCTCGTCTGCGGTGGCGGTGGCTGTGGCTGAGGGGAGGCAGGTGTGGGACCTGCCGTGGGGCTTCGCGGGATGACGCGGGGCCCAGCGCAGGCTGGCTGCATTCGTCGGAGCCCAGCAGGCACGTTCGTGACTCCTCAGGGAGACCAGCCCTCCCAGTGGTGGCTAGAGGCTCCTTTCTCCCCAGTTCTTAGGGTTGGTTGCAGTGATGGTCTTTATGAACAGAGCAGAAAAAGAGGCCCATGATTTACCTCAGTTCAGGCTGTGGGTTATGGGGGCCAGGAGGATACTGGAGATGAGCTCCGAGCGTCAGGGTGGGGCATGAACATATGCTTGAAGCTCGACATGGCGCTGGTCGTGAGCAGCCACGGGTGCGGCCTCCGCTCGCGGCCCCCACGCCCCCAGCAGCCCTGGGTGCGCGGCCCCTCTGAGTGCTGGTGCTGTGGGGAGAAGGTGGGCGCACCTGGATGTCTTGTCCCTAAGCCGGTTCAGGAAGTCCGTGCTGCCGGGCTTCCGCAGCTGCACCAGCAGGACCTGCGCTGCGCCTTTGGGCGCCCCCTGGCGGCCCCTGGAACTTCCGTTGGTTCCCCCAAGAAGGTTCAACCCAACCCTCAAGTAAACAAGTTTAAAAGGGTTTTTGCAAGTGTCTTGAAATGATCTAATCTGACCGTAGAGTACATTTGAGTTCTTGTATAGAAGCAAGCTTGTCTACTGTCAGGAAACATGTTAAAGGTCTATGCACATGAGTGCCAAGGAAAGTAACCTTGTTTGCATGTTTTAATTACTGATGTGAAAATTGTATTTCCCGCCTGTAGGTGTTTATTGGATTTGTGCTGAAGCAGTTTGAATACATTGAAGTTGGTCAGTTCAGGTAATTGCATTTTGTTATTTTAGATTCCTTGTTCTTGTTACATAATTACATGTAATTTTATTTTATTTGGATTCATTTTATTTTTTTTGGCCATACCAAGCAGCATGTGGATCTTAGTTCCCCGACCAGGGATTGAACCTGTGTCCTCTGCAGTAAAAGTGTGGCATCTTAATCACTTCCTACCAGGAAGTCTATACATGTAATTCTAGATTTTTAAGATGAGTGTTTACTTTAAAAGACCACGAGGTGTTTTTGCCAGATCTTGTTTTTAATGGAAGTCTGATTAACATGCTGTGGGTTTTTGTTTCTTTTGAAAATTAATGACTTGAGGATCTCAAGCCTCGTTGAGAGGTAGTTCTTTATCTGACGATCACACATGTTGTCACTTTTCATTTCATATTTCAAAGCATTTAATTATAATAGTTCTGCTAAATGAAATATTATTTGAGATAACAGTAGTTTTTTCTAATCTTACAGAGAACAGTTTTAGATACGGTTGTCTCTAGAACTTTACCTTGCTAACCTGTAAGGTTTTAATACTTCATCCTGTAAATACAATTGAAAATGTAGATCCTTTAGGTTCTGAACCACTAGTAGTTAGGGAAGCACGGTGCAGAGGAGAGTGTTCTGAGAGGCCCGCCCACCCCCGGGTCTGGGGGCCCAGGCTCTTGTTCTCGCCGTGTGTCACCTGACCATGTGATTGGTGGCGAGTTACCTTTTCTCCTTCGGGTGCCAGCTTCTTCAGCAGAAGGACGGGGGGCAGACGGAGGCGCCCTGGGCTGCGGTGATGAGGGTGCCTCTCTTAGGGCCCTCACTGAGCCCTGCCAGCCGCCCGGGCGCCCCAGCGGGTGTGGGGGCCCCACCCCAGACAGGGACTCGAGATGAGGGTGACGGGACCAAACCGGGTGCCGAGGCTCCGAGCGCCCCCGCGACGCTCTCCACTTTGAATCAGGGGTGGTTTGGTTGGGGCTGTTAATACGATGATGTTTCTTCATTTTAAAGGAAGTCTTTTGGTGTTTTTGTTTCTAGGGAGTCAGAGGCAATCATCCCAAACATCTTTTTCTTCCTGGTATTACTGTCTTACGAGCGTTACCACTCAAAACAGATCATCGGCATCCCTAAAATCATCCAGCTCTGTGACGGCATCATGGCCAGCGGGAGGAAGGCGGTGACGCACGGTAACGCGAGGCCGTCCTCTCCCTGGCTCTTCGGTCTGTGTGCTTACACTGCCCCCTGCCGGCTGCGCGTGTATGTGCATGTGCACTCTGGCTGGAAGTGTCTGAAGAAGAGTGTGTGGTCCACCCGGGTGAAAACAGCGCACATGGAGTCTAGCATAAATGCTCCCATCTATCCATGTGAAACAGAGAATTTTAAAATCCAGCTTCTGAAAGGCCACTGGGTTTATCATCCAGTGTCCTGAAAGGCGCAATGTGGCCTTGATTCAGGACTGGCTGTTTCATAGGTGCTAAAGTGAGGTCCACAGACAGTGACCTGCGGCCCAGGCCCCTGTTGCCGCCTGGCGCAGTGAGGCTGTGCTGTGGGGAGGAGCCGTCACCCCTCTGACTTTCTCACAGCTCTCCCAGCATGCCCTACTCACCCTCTGCGGCTCAGTCAGCAGAAGCCTGGGGGCCTTTGAGCTGTGGTTGGGGCGCCTCCTGCGACCTCCGCTGCCTGCCACATGGAGGTCCCCGTGCGCTGTACCGCGGCGGGCAGGCCGCTGGGCCAAGGGGTGGGGTGTGCAGGGCTTGGCTCCTCTCCACTTCCGCGCTAGCAAGGCAGTCAGCTTCCTGCTGGGGCTTCAGTTCAGACCTCAGCAGAGGGACTCCTGACTGCCCATGTACACTCGGGGTAGCTGGAGTTGAGAGTGCAGTCCTCAAATAGAGGCATGACTGAGGCTTCCCAGGTCAGAGGAAAGAAAATTCTTTCTTTGGAAAGAAAGTTGATGGACAGCCAGACCTTACTGTTTTTACTACGGAGCCTGGTCATCAGTGGGAAACTGAGCCAGTACATGTGTGTGAGAGTGTGTGTGTGTGTGAGGGAGTGTGTGTGTGTGTGAGAGTGTGTGTATGTGAGAGAGTGTATGTGTGTGACGGAGTATGTGTGTGTGTGAGGGAGTGTGTGTGTGAGGGAGTGTGTGTTTGAGGGAATGTGTGTGTGTGTGAGAGGGAGTATGTGTGAGGGAGTGTGTGTATGTGAGAGTGTGTGTGTGTGTGACGGAGTATGTGTGTGTGCGTGTGAGAGGGAGTGTGTGTGTGTGAGAGAGTGTATATGTGTGACGGAGTATGTGTGTGTGTGAGGGAGTGTGTGTGTGTGAGAGGGAGTGTGTGTGAGGGAGTGTGTGTATGTGAGAGAGTGTGTGTGTGTGTGACGGAGTATGTGTGTGTGCATGTGAGAGGGAGTGTGTGTGTGTGAGAGAGTGTATGTGTGTGATGGAGTGTGTGTGTGTGTGTGTGTGAGGGAGTGTGTGTGTGTGAGAGGGAGTGTGTGTGAGGGAGTGTGTGTATGTGAGAGAGTGTATGTGTGTGTGTGTGAGAGGGAGAGTGCGTGTGTGTGTGTGTGTGTGTGTGAGAGAGACTGAGGGTGAGAGTGTGCCTTTCAGTAACTGGTGACTTGGCCAGGCTGATGCTCCTCAGTGAAAGGTCTTCCTAGTTTGCTCATGAGGGTGTGTTAGGCCCAAGGCTTCACTTTGCTGTTTTGAGTAAAGACATGCCTTGAGGGGGAAACCCTTAGTCTAACGAGAGAGTGAGTTTAATTGCTTTAAACAGTAGAGAAATCTAATATTTTGACTAAGTGTTTTCTGTTGGAAAAGCATCTGTCCTCTTTTCAGGTGAATCTTTGAGCAGATTGTGCCTGAGGTTAGAGTGCTGCTGTTTTAGTTAGTTGGAAGGTTGTAGTTTAAATTTGACTTTTGAATTTGTGTCCCTTCATGTCAGAAGTAATGTTATGTCACAGAAGCCCTAGTTTTCAAAAAGATTTCAGAACCCTGTCAAGTGTCAGAGAAGACCCTTGACCTTCCAGGATGGCATGCAGATAATCTCACTGCACTCCTGGGTAACCTGAAATTATCCTTAGCCCAGAGTTGGGTGTGGATCAGAGTTTTCTTTGTTTCTTGGAAATAATCTGGAGGTGTTAGTGCTGTCTTGCAAGCGCCTTCTTAGCGCCCTTCTGTACCCACAGCCATACCCGCCCTGCAGCCCATCGTCCATGACCTCTTCGTTTTAAGAGGAACCAATAAGGCTGATGCAGGAAAAGAGCTGGAAACCCAGAAAGAGGTGGTGGTGTCCATGTTACTGAGACTCATCCAGTACCATCAGGTAAGGGGTGGGGTGGGGCACACGTTGCTGACCCTTCCCTGTCCCTGCAGGAATGGCAGGAAGCGCCCTGTGGCCCTGTCCACTCGTCAGCGAGTGTGGCTCTGTGCCAGCCCTGGGCTCTTGGGCAGTGGGGAGATGCTGCAGGCGGAAGGCTTAATGGGGTCTGTCTTTAAGGCCGCACGGCCTGGCTGACAGTCACAAGTTCGGTCCAGGTGGTGGAGAACCCTTTTCCAAAACGAGAACTAAAAATCAGTCAGCAGCATTGATCACGGTGGTGGAGTTCTGAGTAAGTGTTTTTAAAGATCTCAGCCTGAAGTGATTTAAAAGACTTGTTTGGACATGTATTTACCACCATGTTGGTGGAGGACCGTAGTCTCTGCACTGATTTCTAGTTTCACTTCCCTTCAGGTGCATTTGGAATTTCAGATGGTGTGAGGCTCTCTGAAACCTGGCTTTGTAAGAGCCCTCTTCTGTGGCTGGCAGGGGCTCGCCCTCACTGCTTCAGCAATCCCTGTTACTGTTGTCTCTGCTCATCAGATTCTCTCACACAAACGCTTTCTCTGTGCACTTTCATTTTGCTTCACCTAGGTAATATTTAACTAAATACTTAGTGTTGAATTAAATCCCATACAGTTAAAAGTACAGCTTCTATAAGAGGGTCGAGAGCCAATGCCTGGCTCTTGGCAGGCATGTGGGCTGGCATCTCGCGCGTCCCCAGCCTGGCTTACGGGGCAGAGCGGGGCTGGCCTTCGTTTGGGAAGGGGGGGCACAGCGCAGAGTTGCCTGCCTTTGCGTAAGTATCTCTGGGTCCCGGGAAGGGGGAGGCCGCTGTGGGAGGCGGTGGCTGGACAGGCTTTCCAGGGAGTGGGCTCTGCCTGAAACATGGCATTTTATAGACTGGGCTGTAGACTTTCTCTGCAATTAAGCATTTTCAGCTTTGCAGGCTGCCTGGCGCCTGCATCTCTCCCTGTCTGCTGTCTTGACGGGCGCTGTCCTGGCAGTAGGTTCACGGTGGCCCTGTGCCAGCAAGACAGTGTTTACCAAACAGGCGTTCAGGGGTCTCTGTTGAGGAGGGATCACAACCAAACAGGTCAGCCACGGCCAACTCTTCTGAAGTAAACCATCCTCAGCGGGAGGGGACCTTTGCAGAGGTCATAGGACAGAGGGGAAGGCTCATGGGAGCCGGGGCCCCCTGGCGCAGCGGTCCGCTCAGACCGCAGGTCCAGTCGGGGTTGCTCTCGTGCTCTGCCTGAGGCCGAGATGAGCCCGGCTTTCCTCTGGTTGGAGCCTGGGAAGGCCCGAGAAGTGGCCACGCTGGGTCTGGCCGCACTGAGTCTGCCCACGTGTGCGCGGCACCTGGGGGCATGCGGGCCGGGTCCGAGCATCTGGGCCATCCCCGCAGGTGCTGGAGATGTTCACGCTGGTCCTGAGGCAGTGCCACAAGGAGAGCGAGGACAAGTGGAAGCGGCTGTCTCGGCAGGTGGCCGACGTCATTCTCCCGATGCTAGCCAAGCAGCAGGTGTGTCTCCCGCTCCCCGCCCATGGGTGCTGCCAGCAGGTGCCTGTCAGATCAGCCAGCTCGGGAGTGAGTGCTCTGAGCGGAGCGGTGCCCACAGCTCTTGGCGCCCGGGAGCGGGTAGGCTTCTGTCTTCACAGCGTCAGCTCCTTGCTCTGCTCTCGTCACAGCCTGTCATCTTGAGGCCGGGGCGGGGGTGGGGGTCGTGGCGTCTGTTAAGATTGACAGGTGGAGGATTTTTTTGACTGCCGATACATGACGTGGAGCTTGCAGGATCTCAGCTCCCGACCAGGGCTCAGACCCAGGCTTCAGGCAGTGGGAGGATGGTGTCCCAACTGCTGGAACACCAGGGAAGTCCTGATAAGATGCAGTTTTAGCAAGTGGGTGGCTTTGGCGCTTTCAGCTGGCTGAGGCTTCCATGGTCGCAGGTACGCGTCTCCGGGGACGCTCCATGAGCTCCGCGCTCCTCTCACCACAGGCGCTGAGGAGGTTGCGGGGCAGAGTGCAGGGGGAACACCCAGCGTACCTTCCCCTGCAGTGGCGCTGCGTGCAGGGTAGTCTGTGGGTCAGGGGCACAGTGCGGTGTGCATCCACGCATCCCCCCATGACCACGCCTGCCCTGCTGGCCCGAGAAGATGTTGGAATAGGGCTGCAGACAGACAGCAGAGGACTTGGTGACCATTTACAGCGTCTGATGCCTGCCGTAGAGGGGTGACACTCCTGGGGACTTGAAGGAAGTGAGGGGTGACCTGAGCTGATGCCTGGGGAAGCTCTCTGTTGGGGAGGACTTGGGGGAGCCTTCAGAGGGCTCGGTAGGAAGGGGGGCAGGGTGAACCTGAGAGTTGAACAGGCAGTCAGGGTGGGGGTAGCAGAGAGAGCCACTCACAGCTCAGGGCCCGCATGGACCAGGGCGTGGGGACAGGGGCAGGAAGGGGCACCCGCTGGATGTGGGGCGGTGGATGAGTGCGCTGTGTACAGACTGAATCTGGACTACTCTGCATCCTTTAAAAGTAACGTTAAGATTTGAAACCTATTGCCTTGGGAGTTTTTCATTATATTTTTAATGGGTAAAAAAGCAGAGACATAATACGATTTTTCGAAACAAAAACTGCTCTACAGGTATAGGAATGTGGAGGAAGTTAAAGAGAACTACTAACATTGGTTACTACTAACTATGTTAGAACTACTAACAATGATTTGCTAACATTGGTTACTTGGTGGTGGGGTGGGGATGGGGTGCAGGAGAAGAAAGTGAAAGAAGGTAGACGACAGAGTGTGTGACACCTGTGTGGGTGAACCACGCGTGCATAAAGAGATGAGGAGAGGCCGGTCCCCAAAGTGGTGGTGGTGACTGTCGGGCCATGCAGTCTCAGCAGATTGTTTTTCATACTTGTACCTATTTGAATTTTTGCAGGAAGCATATTTGGTTTACTTAATAAAAATCTAATTGAAAAGATTTCCATTGTGGGGAAAAAAATCTAGCTGTTAACAGTGTTGTTCTAAAAAATGATTCCTTGGTTCGCTACTAACGGTGAAACGTATGGAAGTTTTGGAGGGTGGGAATGATGGGATGGTCCAGGCCATCGGGCCGTGAGATGCCTCACGTGAAGGGCAGTGTCGACCTTTTTTCTGCTGGCTGACGTTTCTTACGGGGAAATGTCTGCGACATTCGCTTGGAACAGATGCACATTGATTCTCATGAAGCCCTTGGAGTGCTGAACACGCTGTTTGAGATTTTGGCCCCCTCCTCCCTCCGCCCCGTGGACATGCTTTTACGGAGTATGTTCGTCACCCCAGACACCCTGGTGAGTACCCGCCTCCTGCTGGCGTTCTGGGTTTCCCCCGCCTGCTGCACCTGGAGGCGTCTGCGGGGCTGGGGGTGGGGAATTTGCCTGTTACACAGGTTCCCAGGTGGCACTGAGGCCGCTGGTCGGGGCCACACTTTGAGAACCAGCGAGACAGGGACTCATGGTGGCATTGTCAAACCAGGGGGATCTTCGCAAATGACATTGGCAACGGGGGAGAGCCCAGGCATCCTCCTCTTCAGCAGCGCCTGCCCCCCACTCTGTCCTCAGGGGTCGGTGAGCGCTGTCCAGCTGTGGGTGTCGGGCATCCTGGCCATCTTGCGGGTGCTGATTTCCCAGTCGACCGAAGACATTGTTCTGTCCCGCATCCAGGAGCTCTCCTTCTCTCCGCACTTAGTGTCCTGTCCGACAATCAGTAGGTTAAGAGACGGGGACAGCACTTCAGCACTGGAGGAACACAGTGAAGGGAGACAAACGAAGAATTTGCCAGAAGAAACGTTTGCCAGGTATGCTCCGCGTCTAGTCTGTGGCCTCGGGCTCTCATGTGGTGTTGAATCTGTGAGACCGACACGGTGCCTTAAGGAGCCGGTGTGTTCTCTCTGCCCAACCAGCCTCGTCTCTGGCCTCCGGCCCTGCCTCTCTGCAGGCTCGGTCAGGTCCTGAATCAGACCCTCTGAAGATTGCCCAGAGTAGTGGGTGGGTGCGTTGCCTGCAGAGAATTGGAAAACGTAGGAAGACCCACTTCTGCTCCTCCCCACTGTGTACTGTCATCCGGGCACCGCAGGCAGTAGGATCCCGCTCCCTGCCGGTGGACCGCTCTGCCGTGCTCCCCTCCTTATACTGTGTATACCTGGTCACTCAGTCGTGTCCAGCTCTTTGCGACCCTGTGGACTGTGGTGCACCAGGCTCCTCTGTCCATGGGATTCTCCAGACGAGAACACTGGAGCGCGTTGCCATTCCCTCCTCCAGGGGATCTTCCCGATCCAGGGATTGAACCTGCATCTCCTGTGTTGCAGCCAGATTCTTTACCACTGAGCCACCTGGGAAGCGCTTTCAGTGTATTTGTGGCATCAAATCATGCCTGCCCTTGTCGATTTTGGGAAGCTCCTTGGAGGCTGCGCTCACGACTCAGGCACTGTACAGACTTGCCGTTAGACAAGGGTGCCTCCTCCTTTGCTGGACGCGGGGTGTGCGCTGAGCTAGAGCCCACGGAGCGTGTCCTGGGAGCTCACTTCCCAAGACTGCTCCTTCTTGCCCGCATGATGGCCGTGTGCCACCTTGGTTGGCCATGGGTAGAGATCTCATCTTGGAGATCAGTTGGATGGATGTGCACAACAGCATCCTCTTGTCCCGGTTCAGCATGCAGCCTGTGGCTCACGCTGTCACGGTTAGGTGGGTGGCTGAAGTAGAGGCTGCACTGGCTCCCTGTGGTGGCCATCAGCCTGCTTGATGGCTGAAAGCTTTGAAGGAACACCACGGATTGTTTTAGCCTCCCGACACTCCTCCAAACATGGTGTGGTTACCCCATCTTAAGAGAAGTGGCACAGAGAGGTCAGGTGACGTCATCCAGAGGGATGGGGTCAAACCCTCCACGCATTTTAGGGCTTCCCTGGGGCTCAGACGGGGGAGAATTCGCCTTCAGTGCAGGAGACCTGGGTGCGATCCCTGGGTCGGGAAGATCCTCTGGAGAAGGGAATGGCAGCCCATTCTCAGAGTCTTGCCTGGGAAGTCCTAAGAACAGAGAAGCCTGGCGGGCTACAGTCCACAAGGTTGCACAGAGTCAGACACGACTGAGAGACTAACGCGTCTCTGTTTTACTTCACTTGCACTGTTTCCTGCCTGTATCTACTGCGTGTCTTACGTTCGTGGTGCACTTCCTAGGAGTGCTCTCTGACAGTCTCCTACTCCGCTGTCCCCGTCTCCCTTTCTCTGAAGGTTTCTGCTGCAGCTGGTCGGCATCCTTCTAGAGGACATTGTCACAAAGCAGCTGAGAGTGGAGATGAGCGAACAGCAGCACACTTTCTATTGCCAAGAGCTGGGCACGCTGCTCATGTGTCTGATCCACATCTTCAAGTCCGGTAGGTGCCTCGCACGGGCCTGTCTCCAGTGTCTGTGCTCCCCCTGCCCTGCCTGTGCCGCCGGCGTGCAGTGCGCGGAGCCGGCTCTGCGGCGCCCTGTGCGTGTGTGACGGAGCGTCGCTGTGAGAACGTGGCTCTGAGGGCCTTAGCATTCAGAAAGGCAGGATGTTCTGTCTCCTTTGCACATGATTGTGAATCTGAAAAGCCGTTGCATGAGAGAGAGGGAGGCGACGGAGTCGCTGCCCTGAAGCAGGCACAGGAAGCAGACCGAGCTTTTCAAGAGGAAGGAGCGTTCGCAAGAGGGGTGGTCTTGCTAGTTATCAGGTACAGCATATCTTTCTTTTCTCAGCAAGAAACGCAAAAGGCAGCTCTAATCTCGGGGAAACACAAACAGCAGGAAAGTTTAGCCCAGATCTGCAGCACATCTGGAAATGTGGGAGTGGGTACTCTTTGGATGGTGGCCTCTGGTGCGTCTCATTCTGTGGCCACGTTGCGTTTCCATTCTTTTTACTGTCCTGGCTGTGTTCTCTGCTGGGCTCCTTCCCCACGGCGGAAGGGAGGGCCTCTGACTTGTGGTCTCAGGGCTGCATGAGTCCTCTGAGCAATGGATGCGCCCCTGGGTGGTCCAGCCACCCTGGGCCCGCTGAGAGGTTGGGCAGCCTTCCTTTCGGGCAGGGCGTTACTTTCCAGTAGCGAGGGAAGAAAAGCTATGACAAACCTAGGTAGCATATTAGAACACAGAGACATTAGCCAACAAAGGTCCATATAGTCAAAGTTGTGGTTTTCCCAGTCGTCATGTATGAATGTGAGAGTTGGACTATAAAAGAAAGCTGAGCGCCGAAGAATTGTTGCTTTTGAACTGTGGTGTTGGAGAAGACTCTTGAGAGTCCCTTGGACTGCAAGGAGATCCAACCAGTCCATCCTAAAGGAAATCAGTCCTGAATATTCATTGGAAGGACTGATGCTGAAGTTCCAGTACTTCGTATCCAATACTGATGTGAAGAGCTGACTCACACTCATTGGAAAAGACTCTGATGCTGGGAAAGATTAAGAGCAGGAGGAGAAGGAGGTGACAGAAAATGAGATGGTTGGAGGACATCACTGACTCAATGGACCTGAGTTTGAGCAAACTCCAGGAGAGGGTGAAAGACAGGGAAGCCTGCCGTGCTGCAGTTTATGGGGTTGCAAAGAGTTGGACATGATTTAGTGACTAAACGACAAACGACAACAGGAAGCGAGGGAAGTAGACAGAGTAACTTGAGGGTCTGCTGCAGGTGATGAAAGTGCATTAAGGTGAGCTCGAAGGTAACTACCAGAACTGAAAGCAGAGTGATAAGAAGTTGCCTTTTGAGGGATGGGGCAGGGCACCTGTAGAATTAGAAATCCTTCTCTGTTACTGGATTTTTAATTTGCATCAAAGTGATACATACACATGAGTTCAAATCCCACTCGTCTATGTATCACCTTAATGCAAATTAAAGCACACACGCAGATACGTACCATTAAAGCAGAAGGTCATTACCATTGTCTTCCTTTATTTTCTCAGTAAAGAGATGCTGAGTCCCCCGCTGCTGGGCCGGGCCTGGGTGTGCAGTGGTCAGTAGAGCTAATGTAATTCCTGTCTCTGTGGCCATCAGTCTCGAGAGTCAGACAGTGCACAGAGATGCCGCCGCAGGTCCTGACATCTCCCAAGGAGGAAACGGAAGACAGTGGCAGGCAGCACGGGGTGGGCAGGCGGGCTCTCCTTGGCGGCCGCAGAGCTGAGGCCTGGAGGAGAAGGAGCTGGCGCTTTGGAGAGAGTTCTGAGAGTGGCAAAGGCCAGAGGGGCCGGAAGGCAGCGGGGGCCAAGAGTGACGGGGAGGGATGCCTCCTCAGCTGGGCCACATGACTGCGGGTGTCCTCGGCCCTGGGGTGTGGCCAGAGTTTGTGATAATGGGTTATAGCTTCAAGCCACCTTATTTACTTAACACAGAAACAGTTTTCTTTTTGTGGATCTTCGGATTTATGTCCCACCAACCCACCACAGTAAGTGTGAAGTTGGGAGGTTAATTAAGCCGTGTGAAGATCTGTTGTTTTTAGCACGTTGGTCACTTTCGTACTTGGCCATCGTTTGGTGTGGATCTGACCCCAGTTTACATCGGGGGCTGCTCTCCACCTTCTTTGGTAAGAGCGGTGCATTCCGCGGCCTTCGCCACACCCAGGGTTTTCTGTGCCAGTCAGGGTGTTCACTCCCCTGTTGTTCTAACCTTCTTCCTTTTCTCAGAAGCCAGGAAGGATATTTTTATCGTCCGCCGCAGTGCCGTCCAGCCCAGCTCCCTGCGGTGTGCAGGTGTCTGTGTCTGCATGAACCCAGCCGCTTCTGGTTGCACGTGGCCCGTGGGCTCTGGAAGCGTGACTGCTGTGGCTGAAGTGCTTTTGTTTGGTCTAATTTCGGTTAAATTGGAACAGCCATGTGTGGACTGGAGTGTGAGCGGCTGTGCCCTGCTCAGGAGCCCCGGCCGGGCATTGGGGCACCTGGGTTTTGCAGCTCATGTCTTTGGAGATTGTTCGGTTGGTCCTTATTGTTCCTTATTCAGTCACTCAGTCACGTCTGACTCTGTGACCCCATGGACTGCAGCACGCCCGGCCTCCCTGTCCATCACCATCTACCGGAGCTTGTTCAAACAAGTCCATGGAGTCGGTGATGCCATCCAACCATCTCGTCCTCTGTCGTCCCCTTTTCCTCCTGCCCTCAATCTTTCCTGGCATCAGGGTCTTTTCCAATGAGTCAGTTCTTCACATCAGGTGGCCAAAGTATTGGAGTTCCAGCTTCAATATCAGTTCTTCCAATGAATATTCAGGACTGATTTCCTTTAGGGTTGAGTGGTTGGATTTCCCTGCAGTCCAAGGGACTCTCAAGAGTCTTCTCCAACACCACAGTTCAAAAGCATCAATTCTTC